ATTATATATAAATATTGTATTTTATGGAATAACTTCAATGGCGGTTTATTTTTATATTTTTTCTATATTAGAAACTCAAAAGAATTTGACACAGAATTTCACAGAAAATATTCCAAAATGATTTTCATCGATATTTATATGGATAATCGATCATTTATGCAATCAAAAATAAATTCTTACTTAATTTTATTAATTCTTTGGCAAACATATATAGCAGTATTTTGCAAGGGTATTCAGCAATCGGTTTTTGACTGTAATATTTTTTGAATTTTTTGTATTTCGCTGTTTGTTAAACTGTTTTACCTGCTTTGTATGCAACGTCTGCTATCAGTTGTTGCATTTGAAAAGACGAGTGCACTTTTGTGCCTCAACAAGCCCAAAAGTAACACTCGAGTCCTGGCTGCCTCCCAGGCTCCCACACAGGCATCCATCCCGCCAGCACCTGGACATTATCAGCAAGAGACCAAGGACTGCTTAAAAACGTTAAAATATGTAGGCATACACATATATATATACACACATATATATATACTGCTAATGGGAATACTCCGAGTGTATATGAAATTCTAGGCTGGGTCAGCTTAAAGGCCTTTAGGCCTCTTGGCCTTTCGGCTGCTGGCTTTGGTAATCTTCAACTGATGGAACAACTTGTCGCTGGCTGACATTATGACAGCACCCGGTACGGGCGGGGTGGGCCGGAGGGGTACGCCTAACTAACTTCCTGAACATGGCCAGATGACTTGTATGTGCCTGCTGCAGCTCTTCAATCTATTGTCTGGCAGATACCCGTACACGTTGTCATTGGCATACTTCGGCAAAAAGGCAACATCTAACCAGCATCAGAGAACCGTGAGAGCGAGAGAGAGAGAGAGAGAGTGATAGGGAGGCAGAGAGAGCGCGAGAGAGAGTGAGATAGAGCTGTATCAAGGCGCTAAAGATATACATAGATATGTCGTGGCCTGGTCTGCTCTTCTTTTAACGTATATATATATGTGTTTGTGTGTGTGTGGATCAATGGAAGTACGTGCCACTTGTTAACGCACAATGGAGTCTTTCACAACACTGATTGATGCCCCAGCAAGGACACTGAAAGGATGTTATGCAGTTTGAAGCATGCCACAAACCCTGTTGCTGCCGCTCTCTCTCCCTCTTTCCCCTTCTTTCCCCCTCTTTCTCTCTCTCACACTCTCTCTATGTTTAGAAGACTTAAAACCTATTACTTAAGTGAGTTAGTTCAATTGAGCTGTTGATTATCATCAAGCATAAATTTTCTTTCAGTTAGGCAAATTGAATAGGCTAGAAATTTGTCATTTCTAGTTGAGGAAATTGCAAAAATGATACATAAAACGTAGTCGCATATGATTTTCATATAATTTAAAAATAAATTTAACAATTTCAATTAAAATAATATGCATAACAATTTTTCTTTTTAGCTGACTTTTATTTTACATTGACATTTATTTTGTTAGGTTTATGTTACAGTCATCCTTATACATATTTATATATTTCATGTGCACTCAATACATTGATTAGTTTTACCACTTTTCCTCTCTGTCCCTCTCACTCTCCTTCTATCTCTCTCATTCTCTCTAGCGCCGCTCGAGCCTCAGAGCTAGGCGTCAGTTTACAACACTTTTTGGCAAATGTTTGCCAAATATTGACAGAGCTATTATGCAGCGTGTACAAATTAATAGCAATAGCTGTGTAAACAACACACACAAATACGCACACACACACATTCAGAGACTAACACACACGCACACACATGCACATTAGCACATTGAGCGAATGCCTTTCAGCTCTAGCAAAATCTCTTGAATGCTGTTTGCATGTTTGTACGTGTCTTTGTTGGCAAATTAACACACACATAAACACGCGTACACACACTCACAAATACACATCAACGCATTTATAGACACATGCAAGAGCCCTACATAAACATATACATAGGTTAGTCAAACAAAAAGCGTTGCCTACCTTTGCGGGCAGCGTATTTATTTACGCTTTTCAACTGGCTTACCACATGCAGACTGTGAAAGAGAGAGAGAGAGTGGGAGGGATAGAGAGAGTGATACTTGGTTGCCTGTCTATATATATTTCTATATATCATATTTGGTAGTTATACAAACATAAGTGAAACAGCTGAAAGTATTTCGCCTTTTTTCATGGCTGAGGTAAACGAAATGCTTATTAGACAGAAAAATTGATAAAAATCGATTTTGAATGCTGCATTTGAATACATCTATAAATGTATAATTTCATATGTATATATACACATTTGCATACACATTCGGGTTGCTTCGTAGTTTTTCAAGTAACATAAAAATATTTACTACAAGTCTCTAAGTACAGAAATCGATAAATATCGATACTCATGCCTGTGAAGATAAATGTCAATAAATATATTGATATAAATCAGTTTGTGAATTCATAAGAAATATATCTCATATATGATGCAGGCTATATTTAACTATAAATTTTTTAATATGCTCTGCCATTACTTAAAGCTGAGCTATATCGATAAAAATCGAGTTTTAGTTTTCTAAATCACATACATCAAAGATACGCAAATACGTAGGCATCTAGCTTGCTTTATATTTGGTTCAAAATTATTATGAGATTTCAATTTCTTTAATATTTACCATCTGTGCTCGTATTTACTTTCCCCACTCCATTCTTAAACTGAAATCTATATTTATGTTTTCTGCTTTCAATTCCATCTGAATCTTCGCTATTTTATGCACTGCACCTTTTGCCAACCTTTCACACTAATTAGCAACATTTCCGAAGGCAGTTATAAACTTTGCTGCAATCCTTTCACTTTTTAACATTCTCTATTTTAGTTCCTTTTTTTGCACTTTCTAGTATTTCTTTTTGTCCATTCTATGCCATGGCATGGATAACATAACCTTAAAAAGGCGAAATAGAAAAGAAAATCACGGGCCAGGCGTCAGCTAATAAAGCGCACTGAAACGAAGTCAAGCTAATGGAACGGGGCTATGCCCTCGACCCACTTGGCGGTGCAGTGGGTCGACGTGTTGGCTTGAAGTTATAGTTGACGCTGAAATTTTGTGAAAGCCATCTAGACTTCTAGCTGCTACCTACTGCGTTCCAGGCACTAATTAATTAGCGCCCTTTTTTTCATTACATCTGTTTTCATCTGTTTTTATTATTATTTCTATATTTTGTATTTCTTTTATCTCATTTCGAGCGTAAGTTCATTCAATGTCGGCCACTGGCTAATGAGTCGCGTGAACTGCGTCAAGCGGGTCACGAATCTGGAATACATAATTCCATTGCTGGCGGGTTTGAAGTTTGAATTTCCTTTGACAACATACGAATGGTTGTTCGGATTGAAATTGTATCAAATGACTTTTTGAATAAGCTTTCAGATAAGTGACTTGATTCGAGGCAAAGGAATCTCAGTCAAGCTGATATCAAATCAACTGTCAATCAAGTGAGCCAGTTAGCAAATCAACTAGGAATTAGTTAGTCAATCAACTGGTCTATCGGACAGTTAATCAGGGATTCAGCTAAACGGCAATCTTCAAGTTGTCAATTAACCAGTCGATTAGACAGTCAATCAGTTAGTCAATACACCAATCAATAAGACATTCAGTCAAACAGTTGGTCAATTAGTCCAAGTCAATCAGCAGGGCAGACCAGTCTCTTAGTATTTGTATCAATTATTTAGTCGCATTCAACACGGTCAATCAGTTAGTCAATGGACTATTAGCATATCAATCATTTAGTCACCCAAGACGGTCAATCAGTTAATCCATCAATCAGCCTGACTTTGGCTTGAACTCAATTATATTCCATTGTTGCAAATTGGGTACATCGACTCTCCTCTTATGAATCGGTCAGTCAGTCAATCAGGTAGTCAGCTAGTCTTACTTATTCCATCAATCCATCTATTCGACACTCAATCATCAATACAATATATACTCAATCAGCCGGTCAATCAAGAAATGCATATAGCAATCAATAAGCCAATCTCTAGTTCATCAATCAGCTCGTCAATTAGGCACTCAATCAATAATAATAAAAATGTCAATTAGCTATTCAAATCCCAGTCAATTAGGCATGAATCAATCAACAAATAAAAGATCATATAATCACAATTTATGGCAGTCTTTATAGACATCCAAATAATTAAATTAGTAAACTCCTTTGTCAATTTGTCAATCAGTTAGTGAAGACAGGCAATTCCATATTCACTCAGTCGATCAACCATTCGCTCGGTCAATCACGCTCAATCAGTTGTTGCTCAGCAATTTCATAGACTCAATGAATCGCCCGGTAAATCGAGTTAAATCTGTAAATAATTCAAATTTTTAATTCGATTTCTAATTGATATTTAGCATAAATAAGCGTCAGCTGTACATTCGCAATTGCGCTCAGCATTTGGCATTTATTTCGCGAATATTTGCGAATAGAACCAAATTGTTTACCAGCTATCAAATTCAATAGCCAGGCCCGCAGATGCGAATTCAAATTTATGCACATATATTTATGGGCAGGGCGAAATTATTGTGAAATAAAATAAATTAGACTATCTCAAACAATAAGCGACATGAGCTGAACAATCAACTTTTGCCAGCGACTGTTTGCTCTGCTCGTCTTCCACTTCTACTTTTTTCTTCAGTTTGCCTGGCACACCTGTTACAGCAGCAACAGCAACAACAATGGGTAGATATAACAACACCTTGGAGAAAAGTTTTTGGTTTTCTCAAGCGATTGTTGGTTGTTGTTGTTGCTATTGCTGTGGCTGCAATTGATGTTGAGTTTTGGTTGCTTGTCAATGCAAAAACAACAACAGCAGCAGTGGAGCAACAGCGGCTAATAATACTAGTCGCCATTGCATAATGAAATCAAATTGTAAAATAATTTGCATTTTATAACAAAAACAAAAAATGTAAACAAAACTTTTTTGTTTTTCCCTTAAGACAAGAGAAGAACAATTTAGTTGAGCGTTGGCTTTGACAGCGGAAGAGACAGCAGCAGCTGCTAAATTATGGAAATGTTGGAGTTTTCAGAGTGACATATTTAGCAAATAAATGCAAAGAGCAAATTATATGGATGTATAAGAAGAGATAAGCGAAAGACTTGATCAATATTTTGAGATCTATGCATAGAGAGAGAGAGAGATATGTATAAAGAGAGATAAGCGTAAGCTTGACTTAAAATTCATTAGGATCTCCATACTCACTCTTAGTATGGAGATCTTAATGAAGATCTTAATGAGAGGTGAAAAGAATTATAATATGTGGAACAGAAAAAATGATATGTATATATAGAGATATGGATATATATAAAGAGAGATAGGCGTAACGCTTGATAATGGGTTTAAGATCTGTAGGCTTAAAAAGAGGCGAGGTGAGAGATGAAAAAATTGTAATATGTATGTATATAAAGAGAGATAAGCGTTACGCTTGATTGTTGAGTTAAGATTTGGGAATATTTTTATGCATAAATAAATGGAGAGGACTTAAAAAAGAGTCCGTCCAAAATAAAAGCAAATATAAATGCAACAGCTTTATTATCAGATAAATTTTATTCGTAAATAAATTCACTTAAAGTAGATTTTGCCTACTGCAATTTGCAGGTTTCCAAGGGCGAAATTGAATTAATTTTTAGTTGGTTGGTTATTCATACATTTCTAATTAAAAATAAATAAATAAAACAAACAATTTATCGCAACAAAAAATTCTTAGAAAGTCGCACAAGAAATTCTTGAGATGCGTGAAAAAGCAACTAAAAGTTAACCTTGTGGATAAAAGCACAAAGGCAACAAACACTTGGCAATAGGATGCTTACACACACATACACTGAGCATACACTCTCCCTTTCACACACACACACACACACATACACTTGCAATTATACGCACGCAAACACAATGCACAACAGATTGAAGTTGAGCTCTGAGCTGAAATCTTGATAACAAAGTAAATAATACAAATTCTCGCAATTTTTCTGTAATTAACACATCCCTAACAAAACAGCACACACACACTTACACATACACGTATGTGAATGGCTGACAGCATTGCGTGCTGCAGGCATGAAACGAGAAGCCTGTTTCACAGGTGCTCGTGCTGAGGGTTGCCAGCAGCGCTCACAATTTACAGCTCAGACAAAAGTGTTGTCAGCTCGCATTTTTATGAGCTACACACATATATATACATATATATGTGTGTGGGTGTGTGTTTGTGTGAAAGGACATGCAACCTGTGTTTGTTTATGAGCTCATGTCAAGTTTAAGTGCAGACTTCCTCGCACTCAAATGCCAAATTGGCACGTCACTTGCATTGTTTTTTGTTGTGCGTGCGTGGACAGGTGTGTGTGTGTGTGCGAGGGTGTAGGTGTGTGCATTTAGTGTCTACAATTTGTCTGTCAGCCATACAAAGGGCGTGAGAATGTAACAGCATTGAGGCAGCGTGTTAATCGTGTAAAAAGCAATTAAAACCAAGCACAACTCTCTCTCTCTCTCTCTCTCTCTTTCTCTCTCTTTGCTCAGATAATTTTGCATGTGAGCTCCATTCAGGCGAAAGCAACAATAACTACCACAACAACAATATATATGATAATAATAATTTCATTATATAAATTGAATATTGATTGATGAATGCGCTCAACATTTGTGACATTTATTCATGTTATTCATGTTTGCATTCATGCGTTAAGCTCCATAAATTAATTGCCATATAAAAATATATGACAACAGCAGAGTCTTGTCTATCGCAATAAATATGACAATAAATATGGCAAAGGCAAGTGCCGTGCCCACAAATACGGGCAGAGAAGCCAACAGACAGTGTATGTAGATAGGAGAGATATGTTTGTTAGCTGAGTGAAATTTGATATGCACTGAGACAAATTATGTGGGATTAGTGTTATTGAATCGAAAGTGAAGTGACTGAAGTGTTTTGTAGCACTGGAGAACTTTGACAGAGAGAGAGAGAGAGAGAGAGAGAGAGAGAGAGAGAGAGAGGAGGAGAAAAGGGCAAAGTAATTATTGTAGATGCTCAAAAAACGAACAAAAATCAGTCTAGAATACAGATTGGATGGGATGCTCGCTTTCTTCTCAGAATCTTACTATTAAAATTCAGAGTAGAAATAAGGAACAAGAGTCAATATTACTTTTATTAGAATTTGGAGTCTCTTCTGTGCTATTAAAATTTTATTTTTTAATTTAAAGTGAACAAAAAACTTGTGAACAATTAAAAAAA